GGAAATCAATCAACATAATCCATCATATCAACAAAAAAGAGATAAAAAACATATGATTGTATCAATAGATGCAGAGAAAGCATTTGACAAGATACAGCACCCATTTATGATGAAAACCCTCGCCAAAATGGGTACAGGAGGGACTTTCCTCAATATAGTCAAAGCCATCTACCAAAGCCTACGGCAAGCATAATCTTCAATGGGGAAAAACAAAGATTCTCCCCTCTAAGATCAGACAAGACAAGGATGCCCACTCTCTCCACTTCTGTTCAATATAGTACTGGATGTACTTGCAATAGCAGTAAGACAAGAAAAAGATATTAAGGGAATTCAGATAGGAAAGGAAGAAATAAAGCTCTCACTATTCACAGATGATATGATACTATATTTAGAAAACACTAAAACCTCTACCGAGGAACTCCTAGAAACAATAGACTTGTATATTAAAGTTGCATGCTATAAAATCAGTACCCAAAAGTCCATCACTTTCTTATATGCAAATGATGAGAGAGAAGAAAGTGACATGAAAAATACAATTGTGTTCACACCTTCTACAAGATCATTGTCGGTGATTTTAATGCCAAGATAGGACCAAGAAGATCAGTCGATGAACTCCACATCGGAACCCATGGCCTGGAATGGAACGAACAAGGTGACAGACTGTCTGAGTTCATCATGTCAACCAAAACCTTCCATGGTAACTCACAATTCCAAAAGGCTGAATCTAAACGTTGGACATGGGAGTCTCCCGATGGACGGTTCCACAATGAAATAGACCACATCATATTCAATTGGCGGTTTTGCCTAACCGATGTTGCTGTTGTCCCAAAATTCCAAACGGGATCAGACCACCGTCTTCTTCGTGCAAAATTCTACCTCACAGAACGAGGAGAAAAGAATGCAAGGTTTAAGAAGAAGACTCCCAGAACAACCACCAACTGGGAACTCTTTGGCTCTGTTGCAGCAACATGGGAAGATGCCGTCATTGACAACATTGATGAGGAATACGATCGAATGATTTAGCACCTCCATGATTGTGCAAGGAATGCCAAGAGAGAGATAACCACAAAAAACCGTCTTTCTTCGAACACTCTTGAACTTATTCGCCAACGTGGCGTGGCACGTGCCTCAGGCAACCACAAGCAAACGTCCGAACTGGCAAAACAGTGCAGAAAAGCCATCAAGGATGACCTCAAAAACAGGAGAGCAACAGTACTGGTAGATGCAGCAGAAGCTGGGAAAAAACATTCGTAATGCCCGCCTGTCCTTCACCAACTACAAAACCAAGATGACTGCCCTCCGACATCATGATGGATCTATCACATCTTCCAGAAGGGCAATGGAGAAGATTATTCATGAATTCTACTCAGATCTCTTTAATAGCCTCATCCACTTGCCAACATACCACATACCACATGATGGATATGTCGTTCCCAATGTTCTCCCTTCCGAAATCCAACATGCCATCTCGTCGGTAAAGAAACAAAAAGCACCTGGCCCAGACAAGATCAGACCTGAACACCTGAAGAACTTACCATCAGTACTCATCAATACATTAGCTCGACTCTTCACACGCTACCTGTCTGAATGCAAGGTTCCATCCCAATGGAAAACCAGCAAGACTGTACTACTATACAAGAAAGGAGACATCCACGACATTGGCAACTATCGCCCAATCTGCCTATTGTCTGTCATCTACAAACTATTCACTCGAGTCATCCTGAATAGGATTAGCAGAACACTAGATGAAGAACAACCATGTGAACAAGCTGGATTCCGAAAAGGATTCAGTACCATCGACCATATCCACACAATAACCAAGCTCATTGAGGTATCTCGGGAGTTCAAGATGCCGCTCTGTCTAACGTTCATTGATTTAAAGAAGGCCTTTGATTCTGTTGAGACGGAAGCGGTCATGGAAGCACTAGCCAATCAGGGCGTACAAACTCAATACATCAGGATCCTTCGTGAGCTCTATTGCGGATTCACTACCAAGATCTCACCATTCTACAAAGAAGTAATCATCCATATCAAGAGAGGCGTTCGGCAGGGTGATACCATTTCACCAAAACTCTTCAGTGCCACCCTCGAGAACATCATGCGACGACTAGAATGGGAAAACATGGGAGTGAAGATAGATGGTCGGCAACTACACCACCTCCGCTTTGCTGATGACATCGTTCTAATAACACCAAACATCAGCCAAGCGGCACAAATGCTTGCGGACTTTGACCGTGAGTGTGGAAAGGTCGGACTACAGCTGAATCTTACGAAGACAATGTTTATGAGAAACAGCCTTGTTCCTGACGCTCCATTCGCTCTCAACGGAACCACCATCTCCGAATGCAACAGTTATATATACTTAGGTCGAGAAATCAACATGATGAATGACCTGGCACCTGAGTTACGCAGGAGGAAGAGAGCGGCTTGGAATGCCTTCAAGAGCATTGAAGAAATAACTAAAAGGACAAAGAACCTCCAACTACGAGCACATCTCTTTGATTCCACTATTCTTCCTGCATTAACATATGCCTCAGAGACCTGGACCCTACGAAAACAGGATGAGAACACTATTCGGGTCTCTCAAAGAGGAATCGAAAGAACTATGCTTGGAATATCACGATTCACTCAAATGAGAGATAGAATCTGGAGTTCTGATCTTCGTCAACGCTCAAGAATCAGAGACGCTGTCTCATTTGCCAAGACATCAAAAATCAGATGGGCTGGACATGTAATGAGGTTTACAGACAACCGCTGGACTAGAGCCATTACTGATTGGATTCCACGAGACATCAAAAGATCACGTGGACGCCCACCTATAAGATGGTCAGACTTCTTCGTCAAGACCCTAAATGATCGGTTTGAGGCTCTACATGTTCCTAAAACGAACAGATACCATTGGGCTACACTAGCACGCAACTGGGATGAATGGAGACGTTACTGGCACCCGCTCGAATAAATCGATGAATAACGGGGATTAAGTGATTAAGTGATTAAGTTCATAATCGTGCCCCAGAAAAATCAAGTACCTAGGAATCAGCTTAACTAAGGATGTAAAACACCTGTACAAAGAAAAATACAAAATGCTACTTCAGGTTATAATAGAGGACACAAGAAAATGGAAAGATATACCCTGCTCATGAACCTGGAGGATCAACATTGTCAAAATGGCAATACTCCCTAAAAGCATTGTATAAATTCAGTGTGATCCCTATAAGGATACCCATGGCATTCTTCAAAGAAATGGAGCAAACACTCCTGAAATTTACATGGAACAATAAGCCCTCACAAATAGCTAAAGCAACACCTGGGAAAAGGAAAATGAAAGAATCAACCTCCCCAACCTCAAACTCTATGACAAAGCAGTAATAGTTAAAACAGCATGATACTGGAACAAAGGCAGAGCCACAGACCAATGGAACAGGGTTGAATATACTGACACCTCCTCCCAAATATATGATCATCTACTCCTTGATAAGCAAGCAATAAATGTGGAGCAAGGAAAGCCTCTTTAACAAATTGTGCTGGCAATACTGGACAGCTACATGCAAAAAAGTGGGCTCATATCTCTACCTAACACTATGAACAAAAGTAAGATGAAAATGGATTAAAGACCTTAACATCAGACCAGAATCCATAAGGTATATTGAAGACAAGGTTGGCAAAACCCTCCATGACTTTGAAGTGAATGGTATCTTCAAAGATGACATGCCACTGGCCAAGCAAGTGAAAACAGAGATAGAAAATTTGGACTATCTAAAAATAAGTAGCTGCTGCACCTCAAAAGAAACAGTGACTAAAATACAAAGACAGACTGCAGAATGGGAAAGGATATTTGCCAATACCCATTTGATAAGGGGTTGATATCAAGGCTATACAAAGCACTGGTTGAACTCCACAAGAAGAAAACATCTAGCCCCATCAAAAAATGGGACAACAAATGAACAGAAACTTTCTCAAAGAGGAAATCTGAATGGCTAAAAGGCACATGAGAAAATGCTCTACATCATTAATCATCAGGGAGATGCAGATCAAAACAACAATGAGATATCATCTCACACCACAGAGACTGGACCACATACAAAAGAACAAAAGCAACCGGTGTTGGCACGGATGTGACGAGAAAGGGACCCTCCATTGCTGGTGGGAATGCCGACTGGTTCGGCCCTTTTGGAAAACTGTAAAGATGATTCTCAAAATATTAGAAACTGAACTCCTTTTTGACCCAGCAATACCACTCCTGGGAATATATCCTGTAGAGGCAAAAAAGTACAATCGAAAAGAAAAGTTGGCCTACTGGGAGCTCAGGAAAACTGGGCCTGGATTTGAAAGGATGGGCCAGTGATGAAATCATAATACAGCAATGATGGCTTCAGTGAGTAAAGACTCTCTACTGAACAGAGCGCTTTCAGTAAATCGTTGTCCTAAAAGCAACATGATTGGCAGATTGCCACAAATGTGTGTGGGAGGAGTGAGGACGGGTGTAGAAGGGAGTTAGGATAGAGAAGGAACCAGTATGACAATATTAATTGGAAATTATCACTCTGGACAAGAATTTAGTGTTGAATGTAGGTCAAGGAATATGCATGATAACCTTTCAGTACCTGTATTGCAAACCATAATGCCCAGAAGGAAAGGAAGGAGAGGGGAGAGGGAGAGGGAGAGAGAGAGAGAGAGAGAGAGAGAGAGAGAGAGAGAGAGAGAGAGAGAGAGAGAGAGAGAGAGAGAAGAAAAGTGCCTGCCACAGAGGCAGGAGGGAGGGACAGAAGAAAAACTGGGGATGCTGCTGGTGGGAAACGCAACGCACACTGGTGAAGGGACAGATACTGGAGCCTTAGATAACTGAAACCCAATCATGAACAACCGTAACTGTGTATCTCACTGTGTATTTATTTTTACTAAAAATATTTTTTAAAAAAGTAAAAATATAAAGGTGAATAGATGAAGAGAAAAAAATAAAAATGCCATCAGTTCTAATTTCCATAGGTCTTATAACTTACTTTTTGAAGGAACTCGGAGATTAGCAAGGACCACTTCCAGGGAGTCAGCCTGGACTCTGAGTACGTAGCTTGTTCTTGTCTCATAATCCAGAGGAGCATTAACGTAGATAACGCCCGTGATGTTATTAATCCCAAATTTATCTAGAATTAAGATATAGTCCCTAAGTCATTTATTTTCTTCACATTATAAGGAAAATGAATTCTCTATATAACACTGTGAGTAAAACACACAAAACAAATCAATAAATATATATGTGTAAGTATGATTCACAAAGACAACAAAATATGAATTTTTAAATTTGTTACAGATCTTTCATTTAAAAATGTGTGGTTTGGGCCACATCTAGATGTGTTTTTAATAATTACTACTGGCTCTGTGCTCAGACATCACTCCAGGCAGTGCTCAAGAGACCATATATAGTATTGGGGATAGAAACAAGGTTGTGCATGTACAAGACAAGAGCCATACCACATGTACTATCTCTGGCCTTTGCCTCATCTTGAAAGAATAAATCACAGGGTTTTCCTAAGAAAATATAGCATTTTTATATGTCCCTTACTCTTTTGAGCTCTCACTGGAAATCAGTATATTCATGATCATTTTAATCTGGGAAGCAATAAAAACCCTAGATTAAGAGAATCCACAATATACAGGCTTTCAGAAATTAGGTTTTAAGAAATCAATTGAATTCTGCTTTAAATGAGTATTTTGTGTACTTACTATGTAATCATATATATGGATAGATATACATACATATATAAATTCAAGATATTTTTATCATGTATGTTTAATGTTCTTCTAAAATTGCTTTATTGAACAAACAGATAACTTTTTCTAAAAATCCTTTTAGGAGTTATTTTCTAAAGGATGCTGGTTATTTAGAAAAACTGCTTGATACTCTAAATATCATAAAATAATTTATGCACATATAATTTTAAATAAATTTATACATGTATGTTTGAAAGTTGAGCCTGGAGTCCAAGGTGATGTCAAGTGATCATCCATGTTAAGAGAGGGGTTCGGCAGGGTGTTACCATTTCACCGAAACTCTTCAGTGCCACCCTCGAGAACGTCATATGATGACTGGATTAGGAAGGAATGGGAGTGAAGATAGATGGTCAAAAACTACACCATCTCTACTTTACTCATGACATTGTTCTAATAACACTAAACATTAGCAAAGTGGCACAAATGTTGGTTGACTTCGACCATGAGTGTGGAAAGGTTGGACTGCAGCTGAATTTCATGAAGACAACATTTATGAGAAACAGACTCATTCCTGACGTTCCATTAGCTCTCAATGGAATGAACATCTCCGAATGTAGCAGTTATGTGTACCTAGGTCAAGAACTCAACATGACAAATGACCTGGCACCTAAGTTGTGCAGGAGGAAGAGAGTGGCTTGGAATGCCTTCAAGAGCATCAAAGAAATAGCTAAGAGGATGAAGAACCTCCGACTCTGGGCACATCTCTTCTATTCCACCATTCTTCCTGCATTAACATACTCCTCAGAGACCTGGAACCTATGAAAACAAGATGAGAACGCTTTTCGGGGCTCCCAAAGAAGAATCGAAAGAGCTAGCATTGGAGTATCACGCTTCACTCAAGTGAGAGAAAGAATCCGGAGTTCTGACCTCTGTTAGAAATCAAGAATCAAGGATGCTGTCTCGTTTGCCAAGGCATCGAAAATCAGACGAGCTGGACACGTAATGGGATTTGGAGATGACTGCTGGACTAGAGCCATTACCGACTGGATTCCACGGGACGTCAAAAGATCCTGTGGTACCCACCTATGAGATGGTCAGACTTCTTCGTTAAGATTCTGAACGATCGGTTTGAGGCTTTACGTATTCCTAGAATGAGCAGGTTCCATTGGGCTACACTAGCATGTGATAGGGATGAATGGTGATGTTACTGGCACCCCCTCAAGCAAATCAATGAGTAATGGGTTGTCAAGTGATCAAGTGATATTTGAAAGTCAAATTGAGCATAGTAGTGATACAGCATTTTAATCTTGCACTTGCCATATAATTTTTCTCATTTTAGTTTTCTCCGTTGTATTTATCTTTATGTAATTACTGACTTTTATTAGTTGAAAACCATTTATTGCCTTCTTTCTCTTATTAGGCTGTTAAATTATTTGATGCAAGTGTTCAGGACTTAAGAGCAACAAGTACCCAGGGTCATCCTCTGGACCATGATTAAGGTACATGTACCCAAAGCTACTGTTCTATGTTTCTGTTCAGGTCCTTTGTTCTCTTGTGAGCTTCTTTAATGCCTGCCTGCATGTTCATGACACTAACTGGCAAAAAATTGCATGTCCTTATTTAGAAGAGACTCCCCATATCCATCTTTGATATGCTGAACTATCAATAGTCCTGGAGTGCTGCACTGCATTGCTAGTAAACCTTGAGAATCAATTGTCCACTGTTCTCAATGAATTCTTGCAATTTGCCTCTGGACCACATAAACTGTGGGGGAAAGTGTGGGTTCAGGTACTGACAGCACGGTTATCTAGTACGCTTGCTGCTGTAGTATGAAAGGGTAAAAGAATCCTTAGTATATTAATAAATACATCAAATGCTGAAATAATCATTTTTAGCTGAGAGGAGATAATACAGTCACTGTTATCTTCAAGGAAGAAAAGAAAAATCATAGGCGTTATAACAGTAGATTGACGATTCATAACTTCAGTCAGTTATTGGATATCCAAGAAAAAGGAAAGTTTACTAATACTTAGGAAGACATCATAGCAGCAGAGCAGAAACAAAGAAAAAAAGGCAGTAAATGAAGTTAGGTTCTGAAAGCATGGGTCTAATAACGGGGAGGGGCAGTGGGGCTGAGAGGGTCGTGAAGGGCCGGTGGGTCAAGATGAAGAGATATTGGCATATTGGTCGAGGTAACTTTGCCCTGAAAAAACAAAGCTTTTACAATCTTAAAGGTAAAGGCCCTCCCGTTGATCATTGATTTGCTCAAGCGGGCCCAGTAACGTCTCCATTGGAGACTTTGTTGTTACTTTGTTTGGAATATCGAATACATCATGGGGAGCTTGCCAGGCACTGCCGTGCAGGCGAGATACTCTCGGTAGCTTGCCGGGCTCTCCGAGAAGGGCGGAGGAATCGAACTCAGGTCGGCAATGTTGGCTGCGTGCAAGGCAAACGCCCTACCGCTGTGCTATCACTCCAGCCCTATTTACAATCTTATAAACCAAAATTACCTCAGTGAAATAATTAAAAACTCAAGTAAGATATTGAACATCTGCTTCAAACATAACAATTTTGCTAATATTAGTCATTTAAATACCTCTCACGAAACTTCATGATTTCATTACAACCAATAAGATGATTGTTATTAAATATTGAGTATTTGTGTATTTAACAAATGTACATTAACTATTGCCTTGCTGTACAAAGTATAAAATTTAAAAAATGAGGAAACATGATGTGTAAATAATAGCTGAAACAAACATCCTAAAAACGTTACAAACAGTATAAAAAAACTGAGCTGGTTCTCAGGACCTAAAGGCTCCTAGTACTGCCAGAAACCGCCAGGTTCCGAGATTGGTTTGTGTGCCTCTGGGATCATGGCTGTTCTGGAGCCGGAGGAGCCATTCGTGGGTGACAACTTGGGGTCTCATCTGGGTGGGGAGAAGGGCCGGTCCCACACCCCATCCCATGAGCCTGCATCTCTCATCATTGCAGACTCATGCCTCAGTCCAACAGGCTCTGAAAGATGGGGGTCACCATGCTGCCGCTGCAGGTAAAAGGCAGAAGGGACAACGCCCTTTCCCACCCAGGGTGGCACAGGGCCATGGCTTAATTCACAGCGGCTTCTGGCAAAAATGCTTCTGGACCATGAATTGAGCTTCGGCAGCACAACATCATGTGCTCTTCATTATTAGCAGTAGAAAACAAACTATCTCTTGATGCCTTTTCAGCAGGTCTGATTGTTGGGGGGAAATTCCAAATAATAATTGTGGGTGTTTTGTCAAAAAATTGAATGTAATCAAAGTAGAGAGAGAGTAAAGTGTCACATGCCGCACAAGCATGGGGGGGGGGGGGTGTGATGAGGGGTATATACTGGGGTTCTTGGTGTTGGAACATGTGCCTTGGTGAAGGGATGGGTGGTGTTTGGTCATTGCGTGACTGAGACTTAAACTTGAAAGCTTTGAATCTGTTCTCACGGTAATTCAATAAAAATAATTTTAAAAAATCCTCCTATTAGTGAAGTGGTCAATATAGAAAACTCAATGATTTATTTATCTATTCCATTTTTATGTACCTATTTTATATTTATTTTCTGTATCATATTTCAAATTTGAAAGTTGAACTGCCTGTATCACACATGGTTTTTATTATGGATGTGACTCTTTAGTCATTTTAATAATTTATAATATAAATTTTTCAGGATTATATTAAATACTTTGCTCGAGTGGGCCCAGTAATGTCTCCATTGGAGACTTTGTTGTTACTGTGTTTGGCATATCGAATACGTCACGGGGAGCTTGCCAGGCTCTGCTGTACGGGCGAGATACTCTTGGTAGCTTGCCAGGCTCTCCGAGAGGGGCAGAGGAATCGAACTCGGGTCGGCCTTGTTGGCTGTGTGCAAGGCAAATGCCCTACCGCTGTGCTATCGCTCCAGCTTATTAAATGATGTAAGGATTACATCATTAGAAAGTGACTAATATAGATAATGATTGTAACAAAAGAAAAAAGAATTATTTAATTATTAATTATTTAATTATTTAATTATTTACAATACAGCACTACTAAATGATAGGAAAGAAACCAATTTTAGAATTGGCATTTTATAGTTCCTGGTGGAAAAAAAATATTAAGAATTTTGCTACTGTCACTCTTTTTAATCACTTTGAGCACATATTTACTAATTATATTTGTTATATTTTTATTAGAAAAAATCACATCAATTCAGTGGGGCCAGAAAGTATAGCAGGCAGGGAGCTTTTTGGGTTTAAACCATGGCACACCATATTATTCCCAGAGTATCATCATGAATGATCCCCTAGTACAAAGCCAGGATTAATCCCTTAGCACATCCAGGTGTGGCCCCCAAACAAAACAAAACAAAACAAACAAACAAAAAAACTCAATCTGAAGCAAAGTGAAAACTGTATATTTATTTACTTATGAAACATATTGAACATATTGAAACTTTACTCACCCTCTTCATTTCCTGAAACAATGGAATATACAATACTCTGATTGATAGCAGCAGCAGAAATAACACCAACCACAGTTCCTCTGGTAGCAAGTTCGCTTACTGGTGGAGGTCTGAAAATTTAGAGAAGAAAACTGACTTTTTATTGCTCGCTTTGGATCTTTCACTCAATATTATCAATATTATCAATATTCATTCAATATTAATTTATTTTCGTGTTAATAATACTGAGGTTTTTAAGGAAATAGAATCTTCAAAGTACAACTATAGCAAATTACATTTTAAAATGTAAATGAGTGTGATTAAAAATATTTTGTCGCTTGCATGTTTTTAATAGAGCAAAACTTCAAGTACGCAGATCTTTGTGACTGAAAACACCAGGCCTTCTAGAGTCAGGATGGGCTACCTTCCCACACTTCACTGTACTTCCAGAAGACCTGGCAGTCACACACATATCTTATCACTGCCACCATGTAAGTTCATTTATAGGCCTTATTACACCAGACTTATAAATAAACCTCAAAGAGCAAAAAAATTGACAGGAACAAAAATTTTAATGTCTGTATCTTATGAGAATGTTCATATTCATAATTACACCAACATAAACAAGCTAATTAATTTGAAAACAGATCTTTTACACATTAATTTACTAAATATTCCAGTCAGTTAAGTCTGACAAGCTTTCCACTGTCGAAAAAAAATCACTTCCAACCATAAGAGCCTCAGCTAAATCACCAGGATTTCCTGGCACCAAAACAGCAATGCATCCTCAGCCCTTACACTGAGCTGCAGGCTCATCTTGTTGAGAATTGCTGGGAGGATTCTGGGTCTCCGAAGCATAACTTGGGAGCCCTCTCCTCCCAAATAAACTTAGTTACAAAAATTACAAATTTAAATCATATTGGTTCATTTTTCTGACTCTTTGAGTTATCGTTACCTCCATTAAAATAACTTTTGGATATTGTAGAGAAAATTTTAGGTTTGTAGAAAAGCTGAACAGAAAGCCTACAAATCCCACAATTGCTCTTCACTAGTAGTTCCCCTATTACTAAAATCTTGTATAAAGATTGAGATGAGGGAGGAAGACATAGGGCAACAGACAGGGTACTTGCCTTGCCTGAAGCTGTCCAAAAATCATCCCCTGAGCACTGCCAGAGTCATCCTAAGTACAGAATTAGGAGTAAGTTAAGGGGTAAGCCCTGAACACTACTGGATGTGCCCTGGCATGTTCCCCCCAACCCTCCCCCCCCAAAAAAATAAAGAAACTGCTATGAAAAAAATAACAGGAAAAAAATCAAAGACAAGACTTAGTGTTTCTGACTAGTGAAAATAGCCTAAAACCGTTCTTCCTCCTTCTGGGAATGGCTCAGTGATCAGTCCACAGATGGAAAACTGTAATGAAGATTATTTGTACACATAGGGGTTGAAAGCAGACACAAAGAATGTTGGACAAATTGAAATTCTCCCTCCTGGCTATTCCCTTTCCCTCCTCTGCACTAGGAACACTGTGATTGGTTGTGGTTTTTATCTTCTGGTTGCTCTTTTCATCTTCTTCGCACATAAAAATAAAGTCAAATTCTAACACTAACACCACAGCGTCATTTTAGGAAAACAAAAGAAACTAGAGAAGATGCAAAAGGAGACAAATACTTCAGGCTGCCTTTGTGAAATTAATAAGGAATTGCTTTAAAAAACGGTTGTTCCAGAAGAAAAACAAAGGACAGAATTGGAGGAGGCAACAAATAATTGAAAACAGATATCATAATGGAACTAAAGAAAGTTTGAGAATCTCAAATAAAATTGAATAAGTTTAACCTTAAATAAAAAGGAGCACGTGGACATCTTCACCAAAGAAACATTCCAGAGATGCTGAGTCAGAGGAGAAATTCTGGGGTAGTATAACAAGTAGACTCCATACTTAGGGTAAAGAACATCAGAAATTCAAGATGAAATAAAAGTAAATACTTAACAAGCCAGAATCTGACAGACAAGTAAGATGAGGTGGGTATGAATATGATATATGAGAAATAGACTCCATTAGAAGGAAAACTATGAAGATACAGAAATTCTAGAAAAGGAAGAGAGAGAATGGGATGATAGACATCAATTATAAAATCAATAGTTTAGAATTCTCAAACTGAAGCAATAGGATTTCTCAACCATAGAATTTTCATGAATTAAAGAGAGAGGGAGGGAGGGAGGGAGGCAGGGAAGGAGGAAGGAGAGAAAGGAAGAAAGGAAGGAAGGAGAGGAAGGAAGGAAGGAAGGAAGGAAGGAAGAAAGGAAGGAAGGAAGGAAGGAAGGAAGGAAGGAAGGAAGGAAGGAAGGAAGGAAGAGAGGAAGAGAGATAGAGAGAAAGGGAGAAGGAAGGAAGGAACGAAGGAAGGGAGGGAGGAAGGAAGGAAGGAAGGAAGGAAGGAAGGAAGGAAGGAAGGAAGGAAGGAAGGAAGGAAGGAAATAAGCAAGCAAGCAGGCTGGAGAGATAATTCAGCGGACCCAGCAAGCACTTGTGCACGAGGTTCATCCACTTCTCCTTTTTCTCATATTTAATATACTATCGTTCTCCTGTAGATTTGGACCCGTGGCTCGGGGTGGGGGGGATTAAGGGGGGGAAATGACAAGCCAAAGGTCACACAGCACCCACTGAGTGAACTCAAAGTCGCTTTCTGTTTCTTGGGGAAGTGGCGGCTGTCATGCCCAGCTGCATGGGAACACTGTTGGCCAAAACTGAACCCTCGTGGCTTCAGACTGGATCCCTCGACCCGACGCCTCGCAATACCTAGAGCCTGAGACGGGCGAGAGCAGAGAAGAGCGAGCGGGAGGCAGGGAACCCCATGCCACAGAAATTATTCTCCCACTTGGGTGCTGGAGTCAAGGTCCCACTGCGGGTCTCTCCTGCAGAGCCCCCCACGGGGAATGGGGACTCGCGCTGGCCTTAGCCCAGCTCCGGCCCCCACCTCTGCGCCCCCAGACCCTTCCAGGACCCTCCAGCTTGACCCCAAGCCCAGCCGCCCTTCCCTCCCCGCCCTCTAACGGCAGCCCCACGAGTGTCTTCCGACCCCAGCCAGGCTCCCCAGCCAGGCTGTGAGCCCAGGGAGACCGAGAACCACTGAAAGCACGTGGGGAAAGTGAAACCAGGCCCCGATGTGGCTTAGGACTTATGGGGCACAGCCAGGCACTGACATGTTCTCAGGTCTTCTGGGCGTTTCTAACCTGCTAAAATGTGATAGCACAGCCCTAGGGCATTTGCCTTGTAGGCAGCCAACCCAACCAACCGGGGTTCAATTCATCCGCCCCTCTGGGAGGGCCCGGCAAGCTACTGAGAGTATCTCACCCCCATGGCAAAGCCTGACAAGCTCCCCGTGATGTATTAGATATGCCAAACACAGTGACAACAAGTCTCAGTTTGTTGTGAGACATTACTGGTGCCCCCTCGAGCAAATCGATGAACAACGGGAGAACAGTGCTATATTTATAAATCCAAATGACCTACAGTAATATACATCATTGTTAAACCATCAAAAGTCAAAAATACATTGTAGGAGGACTAGGTATGATCTCAGGCACCAGATCCTACCCCCATATCCTTGCCCTCAGACACATTGTTGGGAGAGTTTCTCAAGCATAGATCTACTAGTAACCTGTTAGTACTGCCAAATGTATCCTCAAACAGCAATAAAAGAAAACAAAAATGTCAACGATAAAATATCAGATTGCTAGGAGAAAGTCAAAAGTAACATACAAAGGAACCTCTATTGTGGTTTCAGCAGAATTCTCTCAGTGGAATACCTATAAACTACAAGAGAGTAGGGGTCTTATTCACATGAGTAATGTATAAAAACTTCCAGCCATGGCTGGAGAAATAGTACAGTGGGTAGGGTTCTGACCTTGAACACATCTTAACTGGGCTTGATCCCAGCACCCCATAGGATTCCACAAGTCTGCAAGAGTGATCCCTGAGCACAAAGTCAAGAGTTAGCCTTGAGCATTGCCAGATGTGGTCCTCAAACCAAATTAATTAATTAAAATAAAGGTTTCCATCAAACAATAAAATACCTTTTGGAGTTATAATTCAAATATGAAGAAGAAATAAGGGTGTTTTGAGACAAGCTAAAAAGTAATAGTGCTTACTTATATCAGTACTATCTTAGTGTGTTCTATTTTATGTGCTTGATGAAACTGCTTGTATTTCAATTTCAACGGGCTTCAGCAAATATATATTGCCATATATGCACTATGATAGCATAACACAGAACATGTCCAGTGGCCAAAAAAAACTTATATCCTTCAATTTATCCCTCTATTGAACCCCTGGAAACCACTTGTCATTTTCTGCCTTTTCCAATATCATATACTTGGAATTATATATGGTTGTCATTTTGAACTAACTTCTTTCTATAGCAGTAGGTCCTTGAGGTTCACAAAGTGTTTGTGTCTTTGAAACATTTATCCTGAATTATATTACTTGGTATGGTTGTGCCTCAAATTACTACACTTTATAAAGAATAAAAGAGAAGGAAACACCAAGTCAAGGATGATTGGAGGACTTGCTCGGGATGCGAGATGCGTGCTGAAAGTAGACTATAGACCGAACACGAAGGCCACTCAAAACCTCTATTGCAACCTACAATACCATAAAGGAAAGAGAGATCAAAAGGGAATGCCCTGCCACAGAGGCGGGATGGGGTGGGGGAATAGGGAGGGGAGTGGGAGGGCTACTGTGATCATTGGTGGTGGAGAATGGGCACTGGTGGAGGGATGTGTACTCGATCATTGTATAACTGAAACCCAAGCATAAAAATTTCTAAGTCTACAACTGTACCTTATGCAGTTTCACTAATAAAATAAATAAATAAATAGGAAAAAAAGAAAAAACTAAACAAAGTAATCTAAAATGTATTGTTTAAAGTAAATATTTGCAGATAAAAATGTTGCTGAGAAATACTAACTGGCACATTTGTTCATATGCAAAATTTATACAGCATGATACTTTTATAAAAAGTATCTTTTATGACATCTTTTATGACATCTTATTATCTCATTCCTACTTTGGACAAACTTGCAGGCTATCGAATGTAGCCTGCCCACAGGGCAGAGTCTGGCAAACTCCCCA